AACTGCAAACCAACTTATTCCAGGGATATGCTCCCTGACCCAGAGCTAGAGATAGAATATTATTATATGGCTCCTAGTGGGGACACAAACCCAGAGTCACTGACTTGCCAGGGGTGAGTTGAAGTCAATTCTTCCCCAACTCTTATGGCCTCCATTCACTTTGCAGCACTGCTACAGTATCATCTGTCTGGCTAGGGATGGAGATATATGTTAGGAGTCTGTCCACCAATTAGTTGGGTTGGCAATATATAAACCAACAATGTATGTTTGTAGCTTTAAGACAAAATCATTGTATTGATTTATACTATATTCCGATTGGTTGATTATATTGCAAATTACCATAAGAGGGAGCTAGAGATCATAGCTTGCTCTCTCTGACATTCTGTTGCTATCTAAGGTTCTCTGTTGTATTTATGCTGTGCTTATACTTTGATAGCTTTGTTTACTGTAAATGACAAAGGCAACTGGTAAGAAGACTTTGTAATTGGATATTCTTTGGACTATTAAACGTATATGACCTGGACCGTTTATTGGACTGTGCTATTTCTTAAAGTAAACTTTAACTCGATTTAGTGTATCTGTGTGTGGCTGGATAATTATTCATAACTACTCTCATAAATGTTTCCATGTGCATATCCTTGTTACTCAAGGGTTATTCTGTACATATCATAACAATATATAATTGAATCTCACCAGTGGATGACCTCTTTTCATGTAGAGGTTTAAAAGGAGAGGGGAAAACCTCAAGCACTGGGGCACCCCACAAGACAGGGTCCCAAAACATGACCTCTCCCCTTTCACCTGCACCAACACAGGAGATGAAGCACTCCCTATCCCCAAAGACAGTTCAGAAGGATGCCATGATCAGTGGTATTGAAAGCCACTGGTTGATCCAGTTGGGCCAGAATGGTTGCACCACCCAACAACATTCATTAATACAAGGGTCTTCAAACTTGGCAAGTTTAAGACGTGTGGACTTCAACTCCCAGAATTCCTGACTGACTGGAGGAGGAATTCTGGGAGTTGAAGGCCATAAGTCTTAAATCTGTAAAGTTTGAAGACCGCTGCATTAATGTAACCAAAAATCAAAAAGCATTGTACTAGCAGAGGGAAAAAGACCACATTTCAAGTTTTTAAAGCTTGTGGAATAATTAAATCTTCCTAAAAACAGGAAGAGGAACACATTCTTCCTCCTTAGTAGATACATTTTAAAAGAAGGAAGCATTTGGGTATATGGCGGAATGCTGTTCCTAGAGGAGAGGCAGAGATTGAGGGAGACTCAGGAGTTCTCATTCCAGCTGAGGGAATCAATACTGTGGCAATTAAATGATGGAGCAGTATTTGCTTCTTCTATCACTTCTGGGTTTTTTTTAGCACATCTTTCCATCCAATATTTATAGGACAAGATTGAAAAAGTTCTTAAATTAAAAAAAAAATATCCAAAATTTGTGACTCCAAAACTTTTAAATCTTGACAGATGAAATGTAAAAGCAATCCCCCCCCCAAAACAACAATATACAGTAGTTTCACTTTAAATGCACTGTGAATGTAATTGCTTTTTTTAAATAACATTTTGTAGGAGACAAAATAAAAAAGCCTGAGTTGTGATTAATTGGTGAGTTCTTTATGTTGCTTTAGTGTTCCTGTACTGAAAAACAACAGAACTGTAGTATATTAGAAAAAATAATAATTTTATACTTTTATTTTTATGCTGCAAAGAAATTTTTTTTGATGCTCTGGGTCCCTAATCAATCCTAGGTTACATCTTGGTAATGGGCTTGGCCCTAGATGGCCCTTTAATAAGAATGTAGAAGTCCTTTGAGACATGTTAAAAAATATTGGAAAAGGTTGGAGTAGAGAACAATCAGCTTCTTTTATAAGCTTGTTGGAGGAGCTTGTCAGAATGGCCAGAAGCAATGGTGAAATTTATGAACCATCCATTGACGCAAATGATATTAGTATGTTAAACGTCACTTATACTTTATGGCACTAAACAGGTTGCAATCTATACTGCTTTTCCATAGTTGACTCTACAAATGGTGAAACTAAAAAAGCTAGCGTTTTCCTTCCATTTTTATTATTTTGAAAACAGAAAATTTAAATCACCAATGTCTAAACAATGATTTGTATTAGTTTATTCCCACCTTTTTCAAAGGAGAAAATTGGACAAATTTTTTTCTATTTAAATCTTGTTTCTTTTTGGCTGCATCTCATATATATATATATATTGGAGGCTTTTGGTTAAATAATTCTAAGAGGGAGCATTAACTTATTTATAACAAAATTGTATGCTGTCCAATTCCAAACAGCTCAGCATAGCTTTCACGACATATAAACTGTACAGTCATCAGCATAAGCCACATAATACTCCAAAAGCCCTCTTGTGTATTTTAACACATTTGTAAAGATATTTTTGTTTGTGAAAATGACAGTGGTAGAATTTAAAAAGCCTTCTTCAACACAGCATATTTAGTCACCTGTGGTCACTATGTCTATACTGGGCAAGATGTTGATGATTTTAAGTTCAGTAATATCAAGTATTTCAATCTGTTTCTATCTCAGGCTTAAGATTGAAAACAATGGGTTCAGTCTGTGAATGAGAACTAGGCAGTAGAAGTGTGTCTTTTTTTTTGTTTAAGCTCTTAGCAGCTTTTGTGACTATTAAATATAGTATTGTTTGACATCAGATGGAGAGTATGATGGTTAGGCTCTTGTTTATTGAGTTTTCAGTCTTTCCTAAAGAATAGATTCAAAGTAGATTTTATCTCCTGAGCTTGGATTTATGGACCTCACCCCACCATTTCTTTAAGATCTTCATGAAACTACAAGAAGCAACTGTCGAGGGTTTTTAAATTCACTGCCTACAAAAAAGTGGTGATAGCTTAACACCCTTTCTAACTCAGTCTAAGGAGATATGGATTATTTGTTTCTAAATTTAGTAATTATATGAAATAATCGATTGAATCAAATTAGAAATGCCTTTAAGAGAACATACGATTGCAGGATAATTCTGTAACTTATCTTCGATGTATTCGGATTGTTCACCTCTTAAAAGAATTGGGTTTGCAATTGTATGGTTTTTATTTTTTTAATTATAAATTATATAGTTGCTAGTCATTCTATGTAGTTTTGAGCCAGAAAGATGAGGGGTAAATGCTTTTATAAATAAAAGTAGCACATAAGAATTAATGCAATAATAACACTCCAGAGCTATCCAATTCAGTGAATGAATTGAATTACAAGCCATGCATTAATGGATTACAATTTGTACAAAATGTAGCTTTGACCTAGTGCTCAATGTTCAGTTAAGTTGTGTGGTCAACCTATGCTAACTATTGCATTTTTCCATCTATCATCAAACCAAGCCAGAGACCAAAAGGGAAATAAGAAAGTTGTTATAAATTCATTTATATTATTACTGTTCAATGCTTCTTGTGTTGTGAATCATTTCTGCACATTAAGGTTGGTATTTTATCATTCCAATCATCAATAGTAATATATAAATGGTTTTAAAGTTGATTCATTATCCAATGGAGATGTCATTAAAATAATATGAGATTAAATAAATAACTATTCAACTCCTTTGGTTTGATTTATTTGTTTATAACCAGATCTTCAAAATTAATAGCTGGTAATTTGCCTGAGGCTCTTCATTCAGTTTTTATAACATGAGCTACAAGCTTTGTGATGGCTCTTATACGAACAGTCATTTCATCTGCAGAAATAATAGTAGGGAAAACAGCAGGAGTTGTAAGAGGATACATAAATGAAGGAAAGAGTTACTTAGAAAATTTTTATCCATTTGAGAAAATTTATTATGAGGTAGTTTAAGTATCTTTTTTAAAAAAAATAAACAACTAAGAAGTATATCTTTGTAAATGCCACATTCTGAATTTTCTCAGTGACCTTAAGACATACCATACGGGAAATATTCTTAATATCTATGTAGTTTTAGAAGATGCAGGCCAGACCTGGTGAATCTTATTATAGTTCTTTCTAAACTAAAGAATAATTGAATAAGCTTTCTCACAACTGGACATTGTAAGAGACTGTGTTACTCAGAAAAATATACCTACCAGAAACATTAACAAACTTCCAACTAACTCCAGGGTCCTCTGAAGCACAGATCAAAAGCCATTGCTCATAGCAATTGTCCTTACGGGAAGCTAAGCAAAATAAAGTATGTTGAATCATATATTACCAAGAGTGAAAAAAAAAAGTTGCTGTGGTGCAAATGGCAGAATTCTTTAATAGGTCTAATTTATTCTTATATTCCCCTTGGGCAATCTATATAAACTGGATGACAACCATACTAGGTACCTAACAGGGATATAGAAAATGATGTTCTCCAAAAGAGACTGAACAAAACTTCATAGAATATTCATATCAAAGATATGCTGGCCTAGAAATGCAGACCATTTGAAATGGATATTTTATAAAGAAAAATAATGATGATTTTAAAAAGAAATGACAATTTTAAGAAGAAAAAATGATGATGCTTTTGAAAATATGCATCATCTCTTAATAATTTAGGTCTGTCTGACTGGTAGCTTCGGAATAAGGACAGAATGGTATTGATATTGTATCCTCTGAAATACAGGAGTTTATCATTCTTGATCTAGTTTAGGAACCATGAATTATGGCTTCAGTTTGGCATGTCATGGCAAAATAATTTTTGGAATCATCATCAGAAAAAAAGACAATAGTTTGAAGTGATATTTGTGTATACATGAGCGAGAGAAAGACGCAGGAAATTTTTTTATATGTTATTATATCTTTCCTATATTGTTACATTTTTATATGTTATTATGTCATTATGTTATTATGTTATTATTTGTATGTCATCAGAAATGTTTATTGTTTGAATAAAAGAGTTGGGATGAATGACAAAACATGCTTTAGGATTAAAATCTGGAAAATTGGATGTGTGCCAAGAATAAACAAATTGTTAACCTCTGGTCTAATGGTAATTCTGGTGGTGTTGCTTTTACATTTTGCAGGCTGTTTTTGCATCTGAATACCTGAAGCATTTCTGATTAAGGGAGATGTGATTGGTGCCCAGGATCAATATGCAAGACACTATTCTGACAGCAATTTTGATGGTCACAAGTCTGGAGATAATATGTTTGGGAGGCATGGCAGTGGAAGATTCCCAGTGTCAAAGGTTTGAGCATCCCATTGTTACAAGTGAGGGTAAGTAACTGAGAAAGAGCTTTTCCAAATAATTTGGTAGGAAAGAAGATCAAATTTGGATCTTCTTAGATCAAAGCAAATGTGGGATCTTTTGTGCATGTTATTTATAGATATCTCATCTATTTAGAGGATTTGTACATAAAGGTTAGGTACAGAGCTCTGTTTATAATCCCCTATAATTTATGGAATTACCAATCTTCATTTATGGAGTCATTTGGTAGAAGCCATTATCAAAATCTTTTGGTTTGCTTTTGACCATAAGGTTAACAGAGTTGCCCTTGAGCTAATATTCTAAGTTACCATATCTTTTTTTTTTTTTTTTAGTTTTCCATTCATCTTCAAAACTCCTTGGATTTGTTTTTTCAGGACACCTTATCTTCTTGTTGTTTTGTCTTGGTAAAAGTTATGCAGTTAAGTGCTACTAGGTGTTGACCAGCAAGCTGATTTCAGTGATCCACATTTGCATATGGATCGGGAACAGTTTTAAGGGAAGCAAACTCTGAAGATATTGTAGGCCCCTTCTTTTTATCGAAGTCATTGATTATGTCTGCAAAATTGTCCAACAGTGTTCTCCCTTTGAAATTCAATTCTTCGTGTCCTGCCAAGAAGCTTACTGCACTAATCAACCCAGAATAAACAGTCTGTTAAAGATTCAGTAGCCTATAAATGTAAGTGGCCTATCCATCTGATTCCAGCCAGGATGAAAAGTAAATGGGATCCCTATTCATAGTTCCCGTTCCAGCAGTCTTGACTTCTTGTACATTGTGGCATCCTTGAAGTGTGCTAACAATGGTTCAGTCATTTTGGATGATGAGACCAGAGATGCATCTCTTTAATATATATCTTATTATTAATTAAAACAATTGAAATCAAACAATTCAAATCCTTTCAACCATCTTAGGATCACACAGATTTGGTTACCTCATGCCCACTGCCCTTCCAAAGAGTGTCTGTCTCCATTTCAGTGATTTCCATGCTGTCATATGGTGGCTTATTAATCATCTTGGCAGCAAAATATGTCCCAGTGCAATCTAGTTTTTCTCCCCAGTATCTCTTTGGATGGGTAGTGGAAACCAGCAGATTTTTGTTATAAATGGTCTAAATAGCTGTCTCCCCTTCCAATCTGTGCTTCTTCCCCAAGAGCAGTGATAGCACCCGAGGCTTCCTTTTCTGGTAGATAATCCCCTACTGGAGGTATGCTGAGTGGATTCAAACTTCCGCCTTAATCCAGATATGTAGACTGTAAACTTGAAGATATTTCAAGAGATGCCACTTTGGAAAAGCTGGTTATCATATGATGGCCAGGTCCTTTGTTTCCTATTCAACCTGCTAATCCATGTGTGAATCACAGATATCATGACGAAGAACTAGTTAGTATTTGAAACTATAGGTAGGTTCTGATGTCAATTGGGACTTGGGTTGTTGTTGCAAAGTGATGTGGTCGTAAGTGATCACAACACTTAGAGGCGGCAATCCTGCTGTCTAGTTTCCATCATAACCTCAGGATTGGGTGGGTTGCTAAGCAGGAAGAGGTGGGAGGGTGCCATGGACAGGCTCCATGACACTTACCATCCCTGAGATCTTGTACTCCATGATAGGCTCTTGGGAGAAAACCATGGCGTTGAGTACTCTTCCTAAACCTAACCTGTAACATTTGGAACAGAAATGCCACAATTGCATTTTCATATTACTGTATTTGACAAAAATCTCATTTTCTGCATAGTGATAGTTAGAAATAGTTTATATTCTGCCAGACCAAGTTTTGATTAAGGCAAATTTAAATGCATATTTGACACTAGTTAATTATCTCTCTAAACTTATCTGATTTCTTTTATCACTTCTTTGGTAGTCTCAGAAAAGATACTACTATATCATCTGAGAAGTGAAAGGAGATAGCTAGAAGTACTTGGAGCAGCCAGTATAAGGGTGAGAATGAACAGCCAGAGCAAAAAGAAAGGAGCTTGGTATGAGTTGAAGATGAGTTATGGTTTGGGACCATAAGGCTTACTTAAGTCTCTATTTTTGGTTTTGACCACCTCACATTTTGTTTAGACTGTGGAGGCACCTGGTTTAGCCTTTTATTGTACAAGGCCTTCCTTTGTTTTATTTTTCCTCTTCTATTTGCTTAGGCTGCTATAATTGTTTTTACATTACACATAGACACTTGGTTGAAAATTCTTCTTTTTGATCCTGAGGTTGTGGTGGTGGTGATTTGATTACTGTAAAATAATTTGCCCCTTTGACTCTGCTTTTGGCTCTTTGTGCCTTGCCTGAGCTTGCTGTTGTGGTTGTAGGGTGCATTTTCTGTGTCTCTCTAGGCTACCCTGTCAGCTGACCCAGCAACCAAGCTGGACATTCAGAGGTTTTGTGTGGGCACAGAGAAAGCAAGCAATGGTGGAGGTGCAGAAAAATGCCATGTTCAGTGGGACATCTAAGGCAGGTAGTTATTCAAGTGACCTGCAGAATTTGTATTAGCCTTTTCTTCCCCATGCCTCAGAACTGCCTGAATGAGAGACTCAACAAGTGTGTGGAACTGGTTCTTTTAGAACAGAAGGTGAAAAGGTTGGAAGCATGTCGTTCCAATTTATCAGGGAGGGAGCACAGTTTTGACATGAAAGACTGCAGTTCTCTAAATCAAAGCAAAATAAAAAAGAGTAAGAGGTGGAGGAATGAAAACATGATTTATAGGACCAAGAGAAAGGAGATATTCTGGAAATGCACTGTAAGCACACAGCTGTTATTTAGACTTTTGACTTAGTGAGTGATGTTGTTATGTTAAAAGAAGAAATTTTAAGGAAAATACTCCGAATCCTGTGGATGGAAAGTACTTAACTGCCAGCCTAAGAAGGAGCAGACATATGGTTGTCAGAGACTTCCTGTGGAGAAGAACAGAAGCAACCATCTCCAAACCTGAGACCTTTGGAAGAGCATGGCTTTCCTGGAGCTTGTATTCCAGATGTGACAGCAGACTGCTGAGGCTGTTCAGAGTAATTGGTTACTGCTTTCCCTGGCTAATTCACATGGGACAAATGATCCAGTCAGAGGAATTGTTGAATGTATCTCCAAAGTCAATAAAGCTCAGGATAAGAAAAGAATTCAGGAGCACAAATGATGTTTGCATCAGTACTTACTATTAAAGGTCAGAATGCTGGGAGGAATGACTAGAAGATTACAGAAGTACAGTTGGCACCTGAGCCTGGACAGAGTCATCAGCAAAAGATTAGGGTTTGTAAACCTTGCTTTATAATACCAAAATGGAAATTCCTTATGGGTGACAGGGATGCCTATCACAAGAAGCTGAGTAGAAGCTTGGTCAAAAAAGGCTTGGAACTAAATCTTGGGGTTTGAGTGAGTATAAAATATTGGGACAAGAGTGATTGCAGTAAGACATTGGCACTGGAAGCTAATAAATTACAGGCAACCGAGATCGGTAATTTACAAGCTTCAGAATAATTGGAAGGACAACGTTGATGTATATCATTATATTTTTATGCTTTGAATCCTGATACAGTATAATAATACAATCTAAAAATTAATAGCATGAAACTATTGATAAAAATATTGCAAGCAAAGAATAAATTTTGTTCCAGAGAACTAGACTTCACTGCAAGGAAAAGGAGGCATTATTTGTAAAAAAATATATGTAAATCTGTGCAGAAATCCCTTCTGAGGAAGCATCTGGGTAAAAATGAAGAGAGTCACCATAGTATTGCTATGGCAAATCTACTCACCCAACCATCCAACCAGAAGACATAAATGACACTTTCCTGAATCATAAAATAAGGCTTATACATGGATGAATTTTAGTGGAAATCTTCCATTTACTACTGTCTTAACATATGCTGGAACCTTCACTTTGTCAACAGGGGAAGACTTGTTTAAATTGTCTGTTTGATTGATTGACTGTCACCCTCTCTATCCTCCAGCAGCTCCAAACCAGCACACTGCTACTTTCCCCACTTTTCTATAGCAAGAATGAGGTATGATTCTGAATCTATGATAGTGATCAGCTGACTAAAAGTGACTAGCTCAAATTCACCCAGTGAGCTTCTATGGATGAGGGAAGTTAACTATTTTGCTGTACAAGTGCTCATTTATGAACAAAATATTTCCTTGCCTTGACTGCAATTTCATTTCTGGAAAAGTGGAGGAAGAAACAAGGGGATTTGTTGTCCTAGATTTAATGCTGACCCTTGTTGATGACATAGAAGGAGCAAGAAGGAGAGAAGAGTTCATCTCATCTTTTGTGTAAACAAGAGCTGTGAAAAGATAGTAATTACATGTATCCCTTGGACAATATAAAAGCTGATTTTGAAAGTTTGGAGGAAAAAAAAATACTATTCTGGACAACTTTCATCCAGTTCCTAACGTTGAAAAGTTGTAGAAATGGTGGTTGTGCTTCAAAGGTCTCTGGAAAAAGTGGGTTATCTGGACCACTTTCAGTCAGAGTTCAGGCCTCTGTGGGAAACTGAGAAGGCCTTGATCACAGTCTTGGATGACCTCTGGTGGAAGCATGATGGGATTAGAGCAGCTGTCCTTCTTGTTTTTTATCTTTCAACAACCTTTATTACAATCTGTTATGGTATCCTTTTCTGTAGTTTTAGTGCAATATTTTAGGGATTGGGTGATTTAAAAAAAAATCAAAGTGCATATTCTTTTCTCATTTTAGAATTAGGTGGCCTTCTATAGTAAATAAGTGTGATTTAAAACTGCTGATACAGAGAGCTAATGACCATTTAAGCAATCTGCTTTCTGAGACCTTCTGTTTGAGCATAAACTGTTTAATCTCCTGCATTAAATATCTTGTTGGGGAGTTTTTGGGCTGCTAATCTCTTTTCTCTTAGAGAATATAATAACTATTAGTTTGTTTTAGATGACCAGCAGTGAAATATAAGTTCAGTTTTAGTAATTAAAGATTTAGTAATGGTGGCAAGAAAAGGAGAATCAAAATGGATGAATGAGGCAGTAAATAGCATTAAGAAAATAGTGATTCCTCAATGAGAGATATTAAATGTATAACAACAATGAAGAAATAAAATCCAACTTTTTGCCTTAATTCGTGAAATCCAACTATGCTTATTTTGAATACTTTTTGAGTATGAATGAAGGTAAATTATATGTGTCCCAGGATAATGTTGCAAGATCCAATCTGGGTCGGTCACGGGACCAGAGGTGTTTTTGTGTTTTTTTTAATAATTGGTCAAATAACTAAACCATAAAACGTTGTTGATAGTTGCAGTGTAGCAGCTCACATTCTCTTGGTTATTGATCCATTTATTTGGCAAAGGCTGAAATTGTGAACGGAAGGGAGGCTGCAGGGCTAAAGGACGAATTGAGAAAGGAATGATTTCCTTTTGATAATCAACATTTAGCGAAGAATCAGCAGCCACTATGATGTCATGGTTTCCGCAATCCAGACAACAAGCGGGAGGAAGATTCCTCAAGTAAGAGGATTTTGATCAACTCCCAAACAAATACAAAATTGCTACTCCAGCAGAAGGCAGCAGCTGCTTTAATTGTCTGGGCTTAGAAACTGCACAGGAGACCCCCAAGAGAGGTGAGGCTGCCTGGGAAGCTGGAGATGACAAGACAGCAAACCACTTGGGTATTACTGCCGAGACAACTACACATTTATTTCTATGAAGTCACTGGAAATTGAGCATTACACAAAATGTATGCATGAGGAGCTTTTGGGTGCTTCCTGCTGACAGCAGTTTTTCTTAATGCCAATTCATTCCTCCGCTTACAGCAATTCTCCCCAAAAGCTATTCATAAATTAGGATAATCTTCAGTGTAGCATTAAATGTAGCACAGCAGGAAGGCAGTTATAAAAAAGATAGCAGACGCTTACACGCTCACACACCCACATGCATACCCTTGGATACACGCATCATGTTTATATTAATATTTAAATATTTCAGATATTTCAAATGTTGCATATTTTTCAGTCACTGTTTACAGCATAACATTGTGAAAAAGAAGCCCAGTTTGATACACAGGTTGTCCTTGACTTACGATCACAGTTGGGACTGGAAATTCAGTCACTAAGCAATGTAGTCATTAAGTGAGTCACAGCTGATTTTTTTGACCTTTTTTGTCATGGTTGTTAAAGGAATCTGATTTCCCCCATTGATCTTGTTTGTTGGAAGACCCCCTGGGAATCATATCATTAAAGGACACTGCCTTTATTATTTTTATAAATGACTCAAAGTGGCAAACATAGTCCTTTCCTCTCCTATTTTCCACACAACAACAACCCTGGTGGGTTGGCTTAAATGAGTGTGATTGGCTGACGATCATCCAGCTGGCTTTCATGCCTAATGTATAGAAACCAGGAGCCTTTAGACCATACTCTAAATACATAGAGGTTGTCAAGAACCTGAATTATGATCACATGAACGTGAGGACACTGCAATGGTAATAAATATGAGGATTGTCCTCAGCCACTTTTTTCAGCTCTGTTGTAACTTCAAATGGTTGTTAAATGAATAGTCACGACTACCTGCAGTGGGACAGTTTGGAAACCCGTACAGAGTTGAACTGGAGATCATCCAGGGCAGTTTCCAAGCTGGGTGCCTGAGGTTGTATGCGTTTGAACAAAGGCTGAGAAATCAATCAGTCATTCTGTGGCATAAATGTAGGTGAATTGAAGGAGAACTCCCTGGATCGGAAGGCAGAACAATTTTGCCACATTTTTCAGAGGTTCCTGGAATTACCCTGTTGACATATGGGAAGGGAAAGCATTTTGTTTCACTGCTCGTATGAAACTGTATTTTTGATTGAGCATGTAGACTAGTGAAGGTGACAAATCTGTCACTTCACATTGAAGCTTTTGGGTAACTGGGGAACATTCTGTTATGCTGGAAGGGAGTTGGCATATTTCAAAGCGTTAAGTGTTAAATGTTCCACTTCTTTTTCTTAGTGAAGCAGACCATTTGCTTTCAGTATCAGAACTGATTTGAAAAACAATAACTGATAAGGCAAGGAAATGGAATAGAAATTGCAAAGAAATTAGTAGGTAAACAGCAGATTGGAAGGGCTGCTTTCACACCCTGCTGTGTTACTTGTGTACCATATGTCTTTAAATACTGTTTGGAAGCTGCACTTGGTGCAAAACACCTACTTTATCTTCTCTCCAGGGTGGAAACCAAAATAAGGGGAGACAGTGTCTTAAGCACCAATAGCAAATAATTATTTATTGTCTAGAAACACATGTTTTGGACTGTTCCTTCGTCAAGGGCATTCTACAAGAAACCCTTACAAACAGTTTATGTGGTTTTATCCATGTAAAAACATCTGTGTCTAAAAGCAGCATCCAGTACATAATAAACATGTTAAATAACCAGATAGCCTCTTGTGGAGAGCCAGGAATCTAAGCAACCCACTGCTGAAAGTTACCAACCCATGAACTAAATTAAGCCTCTTAGGGTAATTATCCAGAGTTTTGGCTGGAGACCACTGGTATCCTGACTTCTTAGAAGTCGTGCCTTGTTTTGAATTTATAGCCAATGTAGCAACAAAGTATATGAGGATAATAAACTGAGTTTGAACCTTATCAAAACAGACATGGTTGGGTGTGAGGCTCCCAATTGGATAGTTTGCCTATTAAATAAAGCATATTTATTATATTATTTTATTTAGGTTTATTTATAATATTTAAGAACTACCTATCCTCTCTCCCCCAGAGCTGCATTCTCTCTCTTTTTTTTAATAGTTACATACTATGGGGGTTATCCTAAAACTATTAGCATCCCGGGAGTCCCAAATGGCCAGACTAAGCTGCACAATTAGTCTCATGTTTAGATTATGAATCTGAATATAAATAACCAGGGGACTGGCCCACAGTGCCTCTGCTAGTGAAAATGGGCTGCGGGGGGTGCAGGTGGCCTCCGTATACCCCGTTTTTGGCCTGGATGGCCTCCAGAACCCTGCCAGCCAAAACGAGCCATGGGGGGCCACCCGCAGGTGGCAGGAGGCCATCCAGGCCAAAAACGGGCCGTGCATGGCCCCCATGCGTCCTATTTTTGGCCTGGATGGCCTCCTGCAGCACCCTGCCAACCAAAATGGAGCATGGGGGGCTGCCTGCCAGTGGCAGGAAGCTGTCCAGGCCAAAAATGGGTCGTGCAGGGGCCACAGGCAGCCTGTTTTGGCTGGCAGGGTGATGCAGGAGGGTGTCTGTCCTGTCTCCTCCCTCCACCCCAGCCCATGGAGGACAACTACAATGTTGATCTGGCCTTCCAAGAAATCCAGTTTGATGCCCCTGCTGTAGAGGCTGCAGCTAGTCCAAAATATGATGGACAGGTACTGAATCTGTCATATCTCTGCCCTGCCTGCAAGTAAGCTACTGAGCCAAAATTGAGGTTTGGCTTGAAGGCCTTAAAGAAGTAATTCCTGACACAGGATGCCTTCTTCATTACAGCCCTTGTTATTTGCTAAGATCTGTGTGAGCAGAGAACTGCAGAGAAGCATCTGGTGATTGCCTGTGGCAAACCCTCCCTGTGGAATGTCTTCCCTACTGACATCCAGGGTGTTTCTACTATAGTATGTCGGAGGCATCTGTTGGAAACCGATCAGTTCACCACTGACTTCCCTTTATGAATGCCAGATGGGTCTTTTCATTTTGTCCTTCTTCCTTTTAATGAGCAAATGTTATATGGTTTTAAATCATTAACTTTTAGTACTGCATTTTATGTTTTGAAAATTGTTCCAAAATGCATTTCCACAGGAAATGGTATAAAAATGAATTTGGCAAATTCTCAGTATTCCAGATGTGTCTACCAAGTCAAAAAATTGGGATTCCTGGCTTAGAACTTCCCTTTTTTCCAAAGAGGCTCTTCTGAAAATGCTTCTAGGCTTGGAGGGTAGTGTATTGAGCAGACAAGAGGCAGCTTTCCCTAGCATCACCCTTGAGCAATGGAATGCAGAAGTGGAAATGTATATGATGATCTGAAGTATCTCCGATCCCTCACTGTCTCTTTGCTGCTTGTCTGTTTTTCAGTGTAAGTCTAAAACTGCTGTTTCCTTGGTTATTTATTAAAGTTAATGTTCATATCAATATTAAAGAGTAATATTGTTTTATAAAGCAGAGGATGGGAGAAAAGGTTGACAAGATGGACCTGAGCATCTTGTAATTTTCCCTAGGTCTTGATTCTGATGCTGACAATATTTACATTTATTAAGAGGCTCACAGAAAAGAAACAGGAAGGAAAGCAAACTCTACAGAAAACCAGAACAGAATTGAAGTGATTAATCACTTACTTTAATTTTACAAAACTGTTGAGATCATTGGTATAAATAAAATGATTTGATAGCACCAAATGAAAATAAATGCCAATTAGTGTGTATATTATGACTATTTTCTTTCTGTTTTTGTAGAACTTGCTCCTTGGTTACATGTGTTCAGATCGGAAAGTGCTGTTGACTTCTCTCAAATAACATTTGATCCAAGACAAAAAGAACTGATTGTTGGCGCAAGGTGAGATGCTATTTTTAAAATGTACCTTCTGTTTTCCGAGAGCATTTGTGTTAAAATAACTGTGTTATATTTCTCTGTTATACTATGTTTTAAGGCATGGGTAAGCAAGCTGGCAGTTTCCTGAGGTTTTGGGGTTTAAGTTTCCATCAGTCCTGTGTGGTTGTTGCCCAAAATGTGTGTGTGTGGAGTATTAGGTGAATTAAATTAGATGTATGAAAAAGAATTGTGACACTTGTGTTTATGATTTTCCACACTCAGTATGTGACAAAGGCCCCTTTCCAATTTCAGTATGTAAATTCAGGCATTTCTCTGAATACACAATGGCTTGAAATTGGATAAAGGATGAGTTTGCATAGGATAACCATGCTACTTCATCTCTGTGATTTCTCTTTTCTTTTATTACAATGGTGTAAATCATGATATAATCAAAGAACAATTATTGCAAACCATGCAATTATTTCAGTGTAGTTTTCAATGCATTGTTTATATAATGTGATTAAAATTATTATCACTCTACTATTTGAAAAGATAGGTGGGTGCGATGGCTTAGCAGTTAAAGATGCAGAGCTTGTCAACTGGAAAGCTGGCAGCCCGAGTTCAAGATCTGAGCACTGCACGATGGGATGAGTTGCTGTTACTTGCCCCAGTTCCTGCCCACTTAGCAGTTCAAAAGCTGTTCTGACCCAAACCTGGTTCCAAGAGAGCAAATACAAGACAAAGGCAGCAGTATAATATTTTTATGTTTAAGCTAAGAATCCTGTTTCTTCACAGATAAAAGGCTGCTTCCAGTTAATTAGTTCCGACAAGAAAGAGCCTTGCCAAGTTTTTTTCAAGTCTGACAAAAAACAACAGATAAGAAATAGTTTACAAGAGTCTTCAAATACCAACTGTAATGTCCACGAGGCTGAGTTCAAAACTTCTTTGCTTTCTGCAAAGAAGGTTAGTTTCACAGCTGGCTTTTTTATCTTCTTGAAGGAGGGGCCATTACCTTGCAGCCTTACTCCTGAGTCGCCCGTGCTGTTGTAACTGTTCTTTCCTCCGAGCAATCCTGCGTGCATGTGCACTTGGCACAGGCTCCTCGGGAACATCCTCATCCCTGCTGCCAGCCCCCACAATCTCTGAAGGCAACAGTCCACTCCCTAATGGTCCTGGCCTCTCATTTGAGTCCTCACTCTCCTCAGCGTCCACACCTACTGCCAGCTAACCACAACAAAAGCCGACAAATGAGAGTAGGTAAATAGGTACCACTTCAGTGGGAAGGTAACAGCATTCTGTATGCCTTGGGGTATAGTCATGCTGGCCACCTCACCATGGAAATATCTTCAGACAATGCTGGCTCTCTCGGCTAAAAAACGGAGATGAGCACTGTTCCTAGAGTCTGACATAGTTGGACAGGGAAACCTTCACCTTTTGTTACCTATTTGAAAAAGTTACAGTATTGGAAAAAAAAGGAGAAAAGTAACATTCTTTACTAACTCTTAGGAAGTTAAGAAAGTAATTTTGAAAGCTTCATTTCCCTTTTGCCTTCCTGACTTCCAATGTCTGAAAATAATTGTGGGGCTTCAGGGTGTGCTTAGAAAAGGAACTGCTTTAGAAAGTCAATAGAATCTAGTTTTCTTAGAAATGTTTGGAACTTCAGGCAAAGCTGTACAATCAGGTGAATTACATGATGTAGTTCTGGCTAAAATATGGCTGTTCTTTTTATATATATATATATATATATATATATATATATAGTTTTATTGGGTTTTAACAAAACATAGCAAATAAAACATCTTTTCTGAGTACAGCATGATTCCAGTTTATCACACCTCCATACAGACATAATCTCAAATACATATTCATCTTATATATTCAATTTCATAACTTATCACTCTTTTTTCAATTTCTCAATATTATTTTCCCCCTTACTTCCCTTAATCGTCTTTTATAATTATCTCATTTCTTTCTAATTCAATTACATTTCTTTTCCTAGATTTCTATATCTTTTTACTCATTATACTTATACTTTCGCCTGTCCTGTTTACGATTTCATATATTCTCTTCCATCACCATTAAAAAGCAAGATTCCCCCCATAATTGCCAATTGTAGTGTGGCACCTTTAGATCTTATAAATATGGCTGTTCTGACTAGCAGCACTGAGTAACAAGTTTGAATGCTCTCCTTCCCCCTCTCAAATAATGAGCCTAGTTTAAACATGTAGCACCTTTTATTACTTTAGCCGATAATCATTTCTGCTGACTTGGTAGCTTTCAGAACATATTTTATAAAGGAAAGTTATGAAGCATCTCATCTTATTTTAAAGCAGGGATGTCCAATCTTGGCAACTTTAAGACTTGTGGACTTCAATTCCCAGAGTTCCCCAGCCAGGCGGGCTGGGAAATTCTGAGAATTGAAGTACACAAGTCTTAAAGTTGCCAAGATTGGGCACTCTGGGTTAAAGTGAAGACAGATAGGCCAGTTTAGAAAGATTCACACCATTTTCAGTGAGTACCAACATGCCCATCTCTCCTGAGGTGATTAGTGGAAACCAGACACATCAGAACTGAACCTAATTATAAAATGGATACCAATGCTGTTGAAATAGTTTTGAAATTTTGTTTTAAAAATGTGCAGTATTTTTAAATTAAGTGGACATGAATGTAGATGATAAAATGTATTACTCTTCTGAACCATAGGGTGAGGGATCAGAATGCTGGATGAGTTGGTATTCTCCTGCTAGTATTTCTACACATCATGTGCATTATGAAGCTGGCTACAATGGTAGAAAAACCTACAGTACTGGAATTGTGCAAGTTCTTTTTTTCTCCTTCCTCTTTCTAAACTGGCAATTTCCATTAGGGTGAATTCTGCCATTCTGCTCTAACTCTAGGTTCTTGCTAGGTGTAACCAACCCAGAGAATGAAAGTTGCAAACAGTAATAGAGTTACCTAAATCTGCATGGCAAATTCTTAATTTATGATTCAGATGTCAGCATACTGATCTTTCTTTCTTTCTTTCTTTCTTTCTTTCTTTCTTTCTTTCTTTCTTTCTTTCTTTCTTTCTTTCTTTCTTTCTTTCTTTCTTTCTTTCTTTCTTTCTTTCCTTCCTTCCTTCCTTCCTTCCTTCCTTCCTTCCTTCCTTCCTTCCTTCCTTCCTTCCTTCCTTCCTTTCTTTCTTTCTTTCTTTCTTTCTTTCTTTCTTTCTTTCTTTCTTTCTTCCTTCCTTCCTTTCTTTCTTTCTTTCTTTTTTTCCTTTTGCAAAAAAACCTGAAGAGTTTTTTGCAAGCAACTACAACAACCCCAAAAGAAGAGTACCTCTGAAATGTTATGATTTAAATAGAGTTTGTGGCATCATCAACAATGGCATGGACAGACCAAAAGCCTTAACTTCATATGTTAAAACTGTAGCTCTAATGAAAATTATACATCATCAGGGAGACATTACAGATAGTCCTCAACTTTCAATCATAATTGAGCCTGCCAATTTGATCATAAATTGTAATGGTCATAAAGTATGTTATCCTGTGACTCTTGATTTTACAATCTTTTTTGTGGCGGTGATTTAGCAAACATGGGACTGATTAAGGTATGAACATAAACATGAACATAGGAAGTAAATACAGATAAATAGGGACAGTAAGAGAGGGATGTAGGCATGCTGATGCACTTATGCACGCCCCCTTTAAGGATATCTTAAGAATGGGGTGAGATCCACGGTAGACAGTTTGAGGTTGAAGCTGTGAGAGTTTGAGGCTGTAACAACGGAGTCAGGTAGAGCATTCCAGGCGTTGACCACTCCGTTGCTGAAGTCATATTTTCTGCAATCAAGTTTGGAGAGGTTTACCTTGAGTTGGTATCGGTTGTTTGCCCGTGCATTATTGTGGTTGAAGCTGAAGAAGTTGTTGACAGGCAAGACATTGTAGCAGACAATTTTGTGTACTATGCTTAGATCGGACTGCAGACAGTGCAGTTCCAGATTGTCCAAGCCCAAAATTTCAAGCCTGGAGGCATAGGGAATTCTGTTGTGGGCAGAGGAGTGGAGTACTCTTCTCGAGAAATACCTCTGAAATACCACTGTGTGCTATGGGGCATTTTTGCTGGAAACCAGAAGTAAATACTGGTTTTCCTCAAGAACTTTGCAAATCATTGTCCTAGGACTGTGAGATCCTGCAAACGGCCATAAATGTGGGCCAGTTGCTTAGTGCCCAAAATGGGGGCATCACATCATAACTTTGAAAGATCACTAAGCAACTGGTTGTAACCCTACAGGTACAGCTATGAAGGAAGATGGTAGAGATAATTCATTTTTAGTTTAGTCTTATTTTCAAATGTAGCCTCACTTTTAAAACACACTAAGAAGGAATTAATTTAAATTTGTAAGCCAAAAGAACCCCCCTCACCAAACACAGTGATCAATCTATATAGCCAGTATATTCATAAAAATGTCTACCTTTATCCTAGTAAATAGCCCAAAACCCCCATGAGAAATTGGGGAATGAGCAGAGGCTGTTTTTCTATTAACATAAGGAATATCGTATGTTTTTGACTTTCTAATGGCAAAAACATCTATAGATCTGCTTTCTTTGACAGCTGTCTCCCAGCAACCCCTGTTAAAGGAGGCCAGAAATAGCTCCTGCAGACTGCTGGATATCTCTTCTTTCAAGCTTCTTGAACCTGCCTGCCCTGATCCTCTCGTAATCCTACTTGGCTCACTCATCTATTCCCTCTCTGTTTGTCTTTGGCTTTAGCCCAATCTAGCTTCAGCTCTGCTGCCCTGGCTTGCGACCTATACACAAATCAAAACTGTCCAAAATAACATGCTATAAAAATGATTCTTATGAAATCAGTGTTAAAGCCAAATGCTTACAGTATAAAATTGGACACATTTGCAGCGTGAATAGTAGAGTATCAATGCTTGTAATAAATACTGCTACATATTTTCTCACTTCCTTAAACAGTGGCAAGTTTCAAGAGCAATTCTGTTAAAAAATTAAATTGTTTACTTAGCCTCTTTTCAT